AGTTTAATGAAAAAGTGCCAATCGATAGTCAAAGGAGTTGAGTGTGAAAGGAGAAAAAGTTTTAAGTGGTGAAATTAGTGGTTTGTCTTTGGTTTTGTATTTTTTATATTTTAAATTAAAATATCTAGGCATTTGTAGTGGTAGTGTGTATTTTTAGCGGCAATCCCCTTTCTACTAATTAAAAAACTGATGCTATTACTCTATTTTCTTGTAGTGCATGTAATTAAGCTTGCAATGACACCACATTTGCCTTATCATAACCCCAATTTTCATAGATCATACTTTATGGTCCATGAAAATGATGAATTCATTTTTATGTTATCCGATTAAACCATTCTTTACACTCACTTGAAGTGGAACCACAAACCATTTGAGTGGGTGCATCTAAACCACAATAGTTAATTCTACTTGCCAAAATGCTTCACATGTCCACTTGATCTTTCATTTTAAAAATCCAATTTGTGTTTCATGTAGATCAACTATTTCCCATTTAGGGTACATTAATGGGTATGGGTTGGTCTACCCCAAATTGCATCATGCATCTATTAGGCAAGTGTCATTCCACGGTTTTAAAAACATATTACCCATGTTTGTGCATGATCATAAATCTTTGCCTCTAATGGACTTCTTCCACATTCAAATCATTATATGGCTTCCATTTAACCTACAATTAGAAAAAAGAAGGATTATAAGTAAGTGTATTTAAAGAAATGAAAAAGAAAACAATTATCAGTATTAATTGCTTACATACTCTATAAGGAGCAAGTTGAGCTCTTAGCGATAAAACAAATGGTTGTGATGAGGGTTTATTTTGGATCTAGGCAACCAACACTTTTCAAGTAGTACATTTCTTCTAAAACCAATGATGGATGGTTCATGATGACCAAATTAGTAGACGTTCATGTGCCCAACACTTCTAGGTGGTACTGATTATAATGGTCCATAAATTGAAAAATATACAAAATGTCATAAAAAAACATGTATGTAATAACGTTAGGTATTTATAGATAGTTCTACAGCCAGGATATGTATCTTTTGATAATATTTCCCCATGTCTATAATATTCCCAAGTAATTGAAGAGAAATCGAGTTGACCGAAAACTTAGTACTAGCGGAGAAAATGGTACATCTCAACAAATATAACAAATAAGCTTTAGTGTGATGTAATATAACCATTTCACTAAGATTTTTTGGCAAATGATTGAAAATGTCTCTTAACAAGTTCATTGATACATCCATTTCTTATTTGTGGGTTTCTAGCTCCTAAATATTTTAAACATATTTTTTTTTCCTTCATGCTAGGACCTGATACCACAACACCAAAAACTTGGAGATTAGTGATATACCTAACATCTTGTAATGTAATTCTCATTTCACTCCAGGGTATATGAAAAGTATTAGTTTCATTTGTCTATCTCTCAACAAATGCATTGACCAAATGATGGTCAATGTGTATATGTCTAATTATGCAAAGTGGTTCTAAGACACTTTATCTAACAAGACCCTTCATATTTTCATTTTTAATACTTCATATGGTTAAAGGCTTCATATGCTCAATGCTTTTCAACATTCCCTTTTCCTACAAAGAAAAAATAAGTGATTATGTATTATGTAATTATTGGGTTATATGATTTAGTTAATTATTGAATCAATTATTTCTATTACATTTCCTTGCCATATTTCTTTGGAAACGTGGCTATCTTGAGCATACAAAATGGATGGATCTTTAGGTCTTAGATGATTTTGTGCCATACTGCATATGTAAACCACTTGTTAGTGAAACAAAATTAAAAAAAGAAGATACACTTGGGGGTGAAATTGGAAAAATTGTCGACAAGTGACATTCAAGAACCATTGATTTTTTTTTCTTTTTTTATTGGCAACTTCAAAGAACCATTGAATTTTGGCTAAAATTTATTTTGTTATTTTCTTCACCCCTTGTCAAGTCTAGGAAGGAAGGCACCTTGCAAAGCTTTATCCAAGCATTCTCAATAATTTTAAAAAACTATGCTCAATTAAATCCATAAAAGGATTATAACTCCAACTTATCAATCTTCACCCCCTCTCTCCTCTTGCTACTTCTCTCTATCACTCAACTCCCTCTCTTTGTTGCTCTTTAACAGATAATGTAATCAACCAATTTCTAAAAAAATTGGCTCCAAATCCACTACAAGCACCCCTAAACATGATACATGGCTTCTTTTCGGTTCTCCCCTTTACTTTTGCTCTACATTTCCTCATTTCGTGCCTTTGTCTTGCGAAAGATCCCTTTGTCTTTTATAACTGGGAAGCTTCTTACATCATGACTGCTCCTTTGGGTGTGAAACAACATGTTTGAGTCTTGGATATGTTTTTTGTTTCCTTTGTCTAGCACTAGATCTTCTCCTCTTGTTTACTGGGTTTTCTTCTATCAGACACTTGGTTTTCTTTGGTAGTCTTTCTTTGCTTCGAATATACTAAATATGCTAGTTTATACAAACTTAATGGCTTTGCATCCTCTTATGTTTTTTGTTATATGGGTTTTGCTGTTATTGTTCTAGTACTGTCTAAAACCCAAAGATTTATAGTGGTTTGAAGTGATTTAGATTTCGTTTGAAGTAGTTTTCTTTTGAGTCACTTTGCATTGCCTTGGGATTGCAGGTAATAGTGATTAATGGCAAGTTTCTTGGCAATTACCCTAATAGTTAGTTCCTTCTTTTGAGAAAGAAGAGGTGAGAATAGTAGGCAAAAACTTAGCTTAGAAGAAGGAACTAAACATTCGACCTCTCTCTCTCTCTCTCACTCTCTTCGCCCCGTATTCCCGTCACCGTCGCTGCAACTTGTAGCGGTGACTCTCTCTCCCCCTGTCTTCACTACGTGTGCCATTCATGGTGATTTGTTCCATTGAAGTGGAAATGCTCCCAGCTCCCCTGGTTTGTACGGGTAGTGAGCAAGGAGGGACAAACCTCTACCTTTAACTTGTTCAGTCTTTCCAAATGAAAGCTCTATAAGCTTCCCATGTCTTTTATAAGTTGTCATCATTGTTTTGGATATGTTCACGACTGGCTACTAGTCAATAGCGTTGACATTGAACAACCTTACCTGTTCAATACCCTCTAGAGTTCAGATTCATCTTCCAAACCTGATAAACCCTAAAATTAGGAAACCGATCAACAAGGTCGACAACTGCTATTGTTGGGCACAGAAAGCAACTTTCTACAAATTCCCTTGTTCTGATTTTGATAACGAAGACTTCGTAGTTGCCATGGCTGTGTCCGAGCCATTCAACCCTCGTATGACCATAGTATGGACTTCCATAGATGCTCTTGTGAGGAATAAGAGTTTGGAAAATTGAAAATCCATATGAGACTTCATATGGAAAATTGTACAGAGATATCTTATATTTCAACGACCAGCTTTACGCCCTCACCAACAATGGAGAACTTCTCCTCTGTGACACAATGAAGGTAGCTAAGTTTGCATCCGAACCGGTTCAGAAACAAATCTATGATTATGATATGTGTATGAAGTGGAATAGGTACTTCTTGGTTGAATCATTAGGAAAGCCGTTGATGGTAAAACAATACCGACCTTATGACCCAGTTAGTATGCTTTTCAAAACAAGAAAGTTTGAAGTGTACATAATGGATTTTGGGAGTTGGAGGTGAGTGGAAGTAGAAGACCTCTACAACCGAGTTTTGTTAAGAGGTGAGGATTACTGTTTGTCTCTGTGGCCGTCAGAATTGCCTTTTTTAAGTTTTTGAGGTAATTGCATCTACTTTGCTGATTCCTTGGTAACTGACGAATCAAGAGAACACCCGGTAAAATGGAATCGTGAAATGGGTATCTACGATATGACGAATGACATGTTAATTAGTAATTATTAATTTATTATTTTTTATTTGTATTGTTTCAATATTATTTTGATAAGGTTGAAAATTATTTTTTATGAGATAGTGCAAATTGAATTCAACATTTCCAAATAGTATGTTTTAGGGGTAAAATAGTAAAGTCAATAAATTTCATATGGTAAATGGTTGATCCAACACAAGCAAACTTATGGATTCCGATCCTCTAAAAAGTAGAAAAGCATTTATGCCTCTTTTCAAATTTCAGACACATTTAATATCTTTTTAACTTTTCAGATTTATCAAACTCCACCTAAATATGCTAGTTTATACAAACTTAATGGCTTTGCATCCTCTTTTGTTTTTTGTTATATGGGTTTTGCTATTATTGTTCTACTACTGTCTAAAACCCAAAGATTTATAGTGGTTTGAAGTGATTTAGGTTTCGTTTGAAGTAATTTTCTTTTAAGTCACTTCGCATTTCCTTGGGATTGTAGGTAATAGCGATTAATGGCAAGTTTCTTGGAAATTACCCTAATAGTTAGTTCCTTCTTTTGAGAAAGAAGAGGTGGTGATAGTAGGCAAAAACTTAGCTTAGAAGAAGGAACTAACTATGCTTGGCTCATCGGTTGCTCGCCTGTTGGCTTAGGACATCTTTGGTTCGTTCATCATTGATTAGATGATGGAAAAAAAGAATCTAATAAATTGTTTCAAGTCTCTCGTTCCATTTTAGTATTCTTGGCGTTTAAGAAAAGATCATTGTTCATCGTCAGATTTGGACATTTGGATGGTTGATAAAGAAAATTAGATGACACTTAAAAGGCATTTGTGTTTTTTTTTCACATACCACTTAATGACTGGTTAACAAGTACTAGATTGATACATTTTAAAAGTTCAGATATTGAATTATCATATCGGGACCAAAGTGTTACAACCAATGGGAATTTTCCCAAATAAATAAAACATAATCAAATCATTTTCCTCGAAGATAAGCAATATTCCCCTAATTAGAATAAAACATTTTTCACTTGCTTATTTGATAGGAAGGCCGATACGTTTTAGTTTTCCTCCAATAATTTTATAATCCATTTACTCATAGACACAAAATTTGAGCTTGAAACCTAAATCACTTTGCTAGCAAAGCCATACCTAAAAATGAGAATCTTAGGGCACACTTGCCTCGTAGGAAAAAGACATCAACACCGCTGACGGTAGGAGGCGAACCGCCGAAATCCAAAAGTTGAAGGGGCCTTTGACAGAACAATATTCGGGATGCCAAGTGTCACCTTTCCTTAAATTCAGGGTGGCAGTATGCCATTTTACCTTTTTCTGCTTTCATAGCTTTCCGTTGCCGTATAAAATATAAACTACAAATTGTAAGCCTTCATCTGTTTCTCAGTCTTCACGGTTGCTGTGTCGGTGCTGAAAGTCTCGAAATCTTGCGAGGAACGAACTAACGACAAAATGGTGGCTACAAATTTGAAATCAGAAACGATGTCTCTGATGGATAAAAGGAAAGCCATGGAGACTGAGATGAATGCCATCATAGCTCGTCTCTGCCAACCGGGAGGCCCTGGACTTTCAGGCGATCTTGTTGATTCGGAGGCAAGCAATCCCTTTAATTTCCCACATAGTCTTCTCTTTTGATTTGAATGATTACCTAACAATTTTCATGTTAGTTTTCATACTTGCTCATGGTAAAAAAGAAAGGAAAAAAAACATTTTTGTGTAAAAATCTGATCAGGCTTCTAAAACCTAGAAATTGGGCATTTTTTTTATCATGTTTGTTAGGGATTTCCTCGGTCGGATATCGATATTCCTGCTGTCCGGGCTGATAGGCACCGTCTTGCTGGTAATATGCTCTTCTGCTTATCTGAACTTAGCTTCCCTTGGTGTATACTAACAAAAGAGTCGGTATTTACTGGTCTCGTACTCTGGGTATTGCAGTAACAGAATATTGTTAGTCCTAATCTTAGTGGCAATTCTCAAATGAATAGCATTTTCTCAAACAAGAACATGGTTTGGTTGTTTATCAGACTTTAAACATATTATGAGATAGAAAATACGAAATACTGGATAAACAAGATGGAAACGTGCTTACTCAAATAATTGCTTTATCTTTATTTTCTTCACATAAATTACTGTGAAGTATCGTTTGATCATTGAGATGGAGTATTGCTGAATTTTTGACGTAATACGTAAGTAACTGACAGAGATGCATTGTTATTTCTGAAACTACTTGTTTATGGTATCACTTGTTTTTGCAAAGTATCTAAGATATTAAATGGAGTGTAAAGGAAGATCAGTTGCAAAAGGGGTTTCTTGGATTGTCGACAGAAAAATGGCCATTGAGTATTTAAGTTGAACTCTTGTTGATTGAATTATTATATCCTGTCTACCCTCTTTGTATGGTAATTGATGAAAGTTAGTTCAAACCAATGACTATCTTAGTGCAGATATTGATGAGGGCGTGATTCAGGGAAATTTGTCTAACAATTCAACCCACAATTCAAATCCTTCAGATTGCATATGAAAAAATGGGTCCATAGTGTTCAATCATCCAACACTTATAGTAGATTTTAAGCACTTCATAGCCAATGCTAAGACTGGTTTTTTTTTTATCTCTGGCAAATTGGAAATAGCATATTGATAAAAAAGGAAATAGCAAAGAGGTATAAGTTTCCAAACAAAGAGGGTAATCTCATAATCAAAACTAAAAATCCTTTCAATATGCAAATTTCCTCCTACCATTTTATTGTCAAGTCCTCTTATAGGGATTATCATGGCTTTAGAAATACATACAATCACCCATATACTTGGTCCATTGCTTTAAAGAGTGAATAAATGACCTACTGAGCTGTGGTGCCAATGTATTCAACGAGTGGATTTTCAGGCTCAGCTTACCTATTTGGAAATTGCAAGTAGATGAATAAGAATCATTAGGGAAGTGTCTCATTTCTCTATCATTATAGACACTCGCATCATCTATATTATCTATTTCTCTTTAGAAGTTGTATTTACTAAGATTTATTACTGCAAAAGCTGCTAATAGTGTGGGGCAAAATTTGTATGAGATGGAGTTTGTAGTTTTCCACATGAATTTCTATAACCTGAGTCTTTGTTTATGTATTTGTCTTATAATCTTCTTTCACTAGTAGAATTTATTTTCCAAAATTGTGGTGTGTGATATTTCTTCTGAGCCACTAACTTTTGAATGACAATTCTACCTTCTCAACTTTTCTTTTACTGTAGACCTTCATAATGATCACAAGGACATAACAGACAAGATAAATGAAAACTTGCAAGTTCTGCATTCGGTGAGGCTTGCTCATAGTGTTTCTTCTCCTGCCAAGGATTCAGGTAATTAGAGTTCATAAATGGAAAATTCTTACATGTATTGACTGTAAAGTTGATTATTGTCATCACTTCTGCCTTCCTAAGGTAATGCTATTCATTTATACAATAATAATGTGCAATAACATCCATACTCCAATATACCTCTTTCACCATTCATTGTTATGGATATAGGTTACTATTTCTCACAAAGAAAAGGATAATGCTATTCATTGGTTGTCAGTTGCGGTATTTGGCAACTTATTACTGCCACAAGCATATAAATCTTCAGTCAAGTTAGTACTTATTAGCTCCATAGGTTAGCTTAATAATAATGTGCAATAACACCTGTCCTCCAATATACCTCTTTCACCATTCGCTGATATGTTTTTCTCACAAAGAGAAGGATAATGTTATTCATTGGTTGTCAGTTGGGATATTTGGCAACTTATTACTGCCACAAGTATATAAATCTTCAGTCAAGTTAGTACTTATTAGCTCCATAGATTAGCTTCCATGATGTATAAGATTCTTTCTTTTTTAATTTATTAGAGGAAATAGATGACACATGTACAGTACTTATTGTTTCATGTATATCTTTTCATTTTGTCCAATCAAATGTCCTCTTGGTTGGTAATACATTGCTGCTTCTGTCTTTAGTTTTATGAAAAATCTGTACTAGTTTTTGTTAAAAAACGGGCAGCCCATTGCATGAGGCTCCTGCCAATGTGGGGTCTAGGGAGGCACAGATGTATGCAGCCTTACCCCTGCACATACAAAGAGACTGACTGTTTTCAAGATTCGAACCTTGGTCACCCAGGTCACAATGGAGCAACTCAACTGTTGCGCCAAGGCCCAGCCGCTGTATTAGTTTTTGTTACTAACGTCTTCAACTTGATAAGTTGTAGAGCATGGTTTCTTGTCTTGATGACGAATTTCATTCAGCAATGTGAGATATGATTTTTTTTTTTTGGAAAAGGTAAAGTAATACTTATTTTGAATGAAATACACACAAGAGGCTGAGATCAGTCCCAAAACAGGCTGACTGATCTATTCAGCAATTACACAAGCCATCAAGACAAAAAAATAATACATCTGACACATTACAGTTTCTAAAATCTGCTGCCACAGACAACCAAGAAATCAGCTTGCCCACTAACTTCTGGGTTAAGTCCTCCAGACTTAGAAACTTGTTACTGAACACCCTTCTATTCCTCTCGGTCCAGATACACCAAATTACAGCACTTGGAATCATCTTCCATAAATTCTTCTTTTTCTTGCTCAAGCCCAAGATATGCCAGCAGCATAACAGCTCCTTTACCGACCTTGGCATCACTCAACAAACCTTCAAGGAGTTAAGGAAGTGGTTCCACAACTGAGCAGAGAACGGGCAGTGTATACACAAATGATCAGTAGATTCAGCACTGCATCCACATAAGTTGCAAGACAGGTCCGGAATCTGAAATCCCCTGCTCACAAGGTTCTCCTTGGAAAGGCATTTATTAAGAGCCATAGTCCAAACAAGGAAACTGGCTTTAGTTGGACTGATGGGATTCCATACTTGCTGAACTGGGAAATCAGGAACACCCCTCCTACCAAGCATGGCAGCTAAAGATTTAACTGAAAACATCCCATCAGAATTCCACTTCCAATGCCACTTATCCTCCAAACTATAATCCAACTCTTGATATTGGAGACAGGTCAAGAGATTCACTGCCTCATCCACCTCCCAATCAAAGAGATTTCTTCGGAAAGAGGGAGTCCAAAGAACTGAACCACCAGAAATACTATAGCACTCAGCAACTGAGGCCTCTTGGTCTGAAGCACACTGGAAGAGGAGTGGGAAGGACTCGGAAAGAGGAACATCTGAGCACCAAGGGTCCTTCTAGAATTTGATCCTATTACCATTACCAGTCCTGACTGAGATCCCCCTGGCCAAATCTGGAAAGTGCTTCATTATCCCTTTCCATAGAGAGTTACCCCAGTTAGGAGGGGGGTCCCTAGATCTCCAATTTCCCCAATTTACACCATATCTGCTGGCAATGAGAGATCTCCACCAAGCATTAGATTCTACAGCAAATCTCCAAATCCATTTACATGGAGGGCAGAGTTAAAATGTTTCAGCTTCCTTATACCTAACCCCCCTTCAGATTTGGGGAGACAGACTTGTTCCCAACTCACCAAGTGCACTTTTTTCTCCTCCTCCTAGCCTCTCCAAAGAAAATTCCTTTGAAGCTTTTCAATCTGATTTGCAACCTTCTTAGGAATAGAGAATAGAGATAAGAAGTAGGTAGGCAAATTGGAGAGGGTACTCTTAATCAGAGTCACCCTCTCCCCAAAAGATAGGTACTTTGCCTTTCAAGAAGTCAGCTTCCTTTCCAATCTCTCAATAACTGGGTCCCAAATAGCAGAGGAACCACCACTCACCCCAAGCGGGAGTCCCAAATATTTGGTTGGAAGGGATTCAATCTGACAAGCCAGAATACCCAACACACTTAGCTAAATTGGAAACATGTCGAACTGGGATAATTTGGCTCTTATTCCAATTAACATTCAGACCTATAATCACTTCAAACCAAGAGAGAATCCCAAGAATTAACTCTACCTGAGAGGGGGAAGCATCCACAAGGCATAATGTGTCATCTGCAAATTGAAGAATATTCACCTTCTCTCCCCCCGACACCATTGCAAAACCTTTCCAATCCCCTGACATAGCAGCCTTCTTACAGAAAAGAGTGAGGATCTCCATAACACATATAAATAGAAGAGGAGATAGAGGGTCTCCCTGCCTAAGACCCCTGGAACTATCAAAGAAACCTACAGACTGTCCATTTACCAAGATTGAAAACTTTGGGGAAGTTATACAGACTTTAATCCAATTCTTCAATTTCTGTCCAAAATTCATCTGAAGAAGCACAAGGTCCACACATCTCCAGTTAACATGATCATAGGCCTTCTCAATATCAAGTTTACAAATCAAACCCGGAGAACCTTCTTTTTTCTTGGAATGAATGAGCTCATTGGCAATAAGAATTGAATCTAGAATCTGCCTACCTGGAATAAAAGCACTTTGGTTATTTGAGATAACACTACCAAGAACTTCTTTCAATCTTTTAGCAAGAACTCTAGCTAGGATTTTATAGAAGCTATGCAACAGACTAATCGGCCTAAAATCCTTAATATTCACAGCACCTTCAATCTTTGGAATGAGGGTAATAAAGGTAGTGTTCAGACTTCTCTACAATGAACCCTTCTCAAAAAAGTCCCGGAAAACATTCAAGATATCTTGTCTCACCACATCCCGACATTTAATGTAGAAGAGATTTGTAAGACCATTAGGCCCTGGAGACTTTTCATCAACCAACAACTTGGTAGCTTCTTTAATTTCCTCCTCAGAAAAGGGTCTCTCAATGAATGAAGATTGTTCATCACTCAGCTGGTTAAAAGAAAGGGATCTAGGAAAAGGTCTAAAGGACCAAGATTCCTTATACAATTTCTTGTAAAAGCTAGTTGCCACAAGCATCATATCAGTCTCAGTGATACCTACCCTGCCCTCTCCCTCCAGCCTGGTAATTACAGAAGCTCTAGCTTTAGCATTTGCCATTTTGTGGAAATAATGTGTATTCCTATCCCCCTCTTTCAGCCAAGCCACTTTGACTCTTTGCCTCCATTTAATTTCTTTTGCCACTGCCAATTTGTCAAACTTCAACTTAGCCTGAAATCTTTTTAATCTGAGCTCCTTAACAATAGGACCTAATTCTTCAGCTGTGTCAATCTCCTTTATGGTACTCAGGAGAGCCTTCTTCTCAGTATCTAGACTCAAACTTTTCTCCAATTTCCAAATCTTTAGCCTTGCTTTAATGGCCCCCAATTTCTTTGCTAAGATGAATGAACTGGTACCCCCCACTTACAAATCCTCCCAAACAGACTTCAACAAAGGAACAAGAGAATCATCCTCAAACCAAGCATTCTCTAATTTGAAAGGAACTTTTTCTCTCACTCTAACACCACAAACCAGCTGAATAGGAATACGGTTTGACACTGGTCTTGGAAGGGCAATCTGCTTAAACTCCGGGAAAATATCTCCCCAATTAGAAGTAACCAAAAACCTATCCAGCCTCACTAGGGTAGGAAGGTCTTGATTGTTGGCCCAAGTATACCTGCCGCCATGAAGGGGTAAATCTTGAAGTTCAAATCTGTTGATAAAATCAGCAAATTGCACCATATCCCTTGATCTTCTCCCACCCGAGCTTCTCTCATCCCCAGAAAGAGTGACATTAAAGTCCCCACCAATGACCCAAGGAAAAGCAAGACTTCCCTTAGCCACAACCAACTCTTCCCAAAACTCCTTCCTCCGGCTTCTGTCATTAGGGCCATACACATTAGTAACTTGACACACATTACCATTTGCAAGTTTCAAGACAAGTGAAATTGAAAAATTTCCAATCTGATGAGAAATCAAGCTGCAAACTGTCAGGTCCCACATACTCAGTAACCCCCCTGCACTACCAACTGCCGGCTTTGACCTCCACCTAACCTCCCCCTCCCCCTAGATACTTCTAACCACTCCAGCTTCCACAGTTTCCAATTTAGTTTCTTGAATCAATACCACTTTTGAACCTGAATTTTTCAAAGTCACATACTACATGCCTCCTTCTCCCCGACCCCCCAACCTCCTAACATTCCAAGATAATAATTCCAGCTCCATAACAAACTAAAAACAGCAGAACACTTGGCACTTAGGCATCTCCCTCCCC